TTGACAAGAAATAAATTAAGACACACTGCAAACATGTTCTATTTAAATAATGGCAGAGATTCTCGTTTCAAAGGACATTCCATCTTCCCTTACAAAACATTAGCATATGCTTCTTAAGTGCTCCTGAAATAAAATTTGTATCACCACAGTCACGTGGCATTACTCTGCCTGCAAAAGCTGCTCTCAGCTGCCTCCCAGTTAAGGCTTCAACCAGAATTTCCTTGCTGCAAGTGTTTTCTCTCTAAGGTGGATAATTTTACCTCTCATTCATCCCAGAAATTACAAGACAATCTAAAAACATCCTCCACTCCTGTTTGTTCTGGGAGAATCTCTTTTACACCAACTCTCCTTCCAAACAGGAAAGCAGCATAAATTCCATAAACAGAGGGGAACAAATTCCTGAGTGCTTCTCAATAAATAAAGACAAGATTTGATTTTTCATTGGCCTTAAAAATATAATTATTTTTAGCATGCCTATTAAAAGCAGTGAATTAGCAGAACCAAAATGAAGGAATTATGTGCACATTATAATTTTTTTGTTTACAAGCCCTAATTAATACCAGTAATTCTTGCCAAGTTATTGTGTCTCAGCTTGCAGAGCCCCTGACCTTGGCCCTGCAATGTCAGAACCACCATCCCCAGAAGAGTGTGACCTTTTGTATTTGGCTTTAAATTACCCAGTGTTTCACCTTCCCAGGATACAGCTGGCTTGATTAAATAAAGGTATTCATATTCATAACATTACTTTAAGAGGCAGGGATAAAACAAACCATTTCTATACTTTCAGACTAGTCTCTATTCTACTAATATTCCAATAATAGCTCATGTGGGCTCGAATTAAACTTCTATTTCCACACCAGCACTTTAGGAGAGATTCTGTTTCCATACATTGCAGAATTATGCAACTATAATTAATTTAAATCTTAAATAAATAGGCTTAATTTCTGAGTCTTATAAGCAAGCAAGAGCACATTATTTACCACACTGTTCAGCAATAAATGGAAATAAGCTCAGATTCTGGTGACTGATTTAGGACTTTAACAATTCCATAAAGAAGAGGATATTCACTTAAAATAGGCAATGTCCCTTGGGTTTTTGTGCCAAACATCGATATGGAGTGGCCCTGCTATAAAAACAGCAATGCTGAGCAGAGATCCCCCCAAATTTAGGTTCAATCACACTTGAGTGGTTGAAAAAGAGCCTTGCTATTTAAATGTGATAAAAAGGAGGGGGACAAGGGGGAAGAAGCAAGTGAGAAATACAAAAGTAGTTAAGACAGGATCCATTTGGGAACAGAAAATCATATTTCTTTAGAAACAGAGTGATTTTGTGCTGCAGATTCAACCTTGATGGTGGAGTTCTGTAGGAGTCAGAGTTAATAAACAGGAGTTTCATTGTAAAGACAAGACATGGAGCCCCAAGAGCTCAGGACATGAGAACTGTTCCCCTTTATCTACCACACACCCCATGGATTTCTGCAGATCCACATAAAACTCCTGCATTTCCTGAGCTGCTCCACTGCCAGGGCTCTGCCCATATTGATTAGGGATAAAACTTTGCAAGGACAGCCAGCAGAATTCAGCAAACATAAATCAAATCAGCAGGGCTGCTTCTGATCCAGGGGAAAGATTCCTACTGAGCCCATTTGGCCACTAATGGGGCCCTGTGTCAGCCAGACAACGCCTTGATTTCATGCTCCTATCATGAATAAATACATCACATTCATTCCTTCATGGGGCACGGCTGCTGCCTCAGCACACCTTTCCCACTCTAGAATCTGGGGTGATACATTTACCTTCAGACATTGTTTTTCCTAAATAGCCATTGTGTAAAAACCCCACCAACATCTGTCATCACGCTGTTCCATAAAGTCCCTGCAATACCAAGGTTCAGTTTCAAACATATCAGCACAATGAGTGAAAAAGTTTATTCCAAACTTGACTGGTGGGCAGGGCATGGTTTTGAGGACACTCCAAACAGAATGAAGGTCTCAAGGATTCTGGAATGTTCCAGTTCCAAAGTGAACATTCCTAATGAGCAGTTCTCCTCAGGAGCACACACAGAGTAAGCCCAGGGCAGGGGAAGACTCTACCACACTTCCACTCAGACACACAAACAACTCTTCCTTGAATGATAATGACCTCAACTCAACAAATCACAGTTACTACACAAAAAAAAACCCAACCAAAAAAAAAAAAACAAAAACAAACTAAGCAAGGCACCAGACAGAACAAATAACTGCTCATCTTGCTGGGAACTTCAATGTCCAAACCTCTGCCTTTTCTAACCTGGGCTCACTATTTTGCTGTTAAACAACTTAGTTTTCATTTTTATTCTTTTAGTCCAGATGGATTGCAGGCTTGGCTAACAACATAAACCTGATTAATCAACTTTCATGCCATATTTATGTTGCAACAGGGAGGTTTTACTGCAGTCTGCAGTTTACCAATGCATACTGTGGAACACAGCCAGTGCTTTATGTACCCTTCAAATTGCAAGCTGCAGTCCACTTTGGCATCAGTGACCCCAAATCGGCTACTGACAACCAGCTCTTGTCTTTGCTGAATACAGATTCAGTTAAATTTAATTAAAACAAAACAAAAAAGGAAAAAGAAAGAAAAAAAGGGAAAAATAAAATAAAACAAAAACCAACCAAGCCAAACAAACACACACACAAAAAACAAAAACAAAACCAAAACCAAAAAAACAAACAAACAAACAAAAAAACCCAACCCCACCCCTCCAGGAACTATATTTCACTTATGAAAATTATGAATTTTCAAACCTACCCACTTTCTTGTGACAGAGAAACCAGTTAAAAATCAAGAAATGTGTATTTCCTAATTTGTTTGTTTTGCCATCACTACCCCATCCTTACAGCAAGCTTTTGGCCAAATAAAGAACTCCTTTTACAGATGCTGCAGCGTAGCTGAGACTCTATTTGTCATGTTTTGATGGTGCTGCTTTGGTTTTACTGGAGTTATTTTCCCCAGCAAGCTGAAGGGCTTGCAAGGCAAAAAACAAAACAACCTGTCAACACCTGTTCTGGCATCCTGTGTTTCCTAAATCACTCGTGGACATTTATGGCAGCAAGGAACTTGGTAATTAAAACTCACATTCGATGGCTGTTCAGAAAAGTCAAGGCTCTGATACAGAGGACAATTAATAGCCCATACTTGAGCCACACCAATTACACAGAGCTGGCAATTAACATTATTACTCATAAATTAAAATGGGCAATGTGTTTTGTCTAACATGAGCAAGGAGGAGAAGAAGGGGGAATGACTCACGTTCCAGTCCTGCTGCTCCCCATCAGCCAGGTCTTGGCAGAATCCCAGTTCAGCCCAGTTCCCTGCACCCCAAAGGCCACTCCAGTGGGGTTGGACCAATTCAATCCAGTCAGCTTTGCTCTCAATGGCTCTTTTCACCCACACAGGAAACCTGGACAACACAATCCTCTCCCAAATGGTGTTTGGGGTTTGTTTTCCTTCTTTTTATTTTTTTTTTTTAACAGGATTTTTTTATGGGGTTTAGCAAGGTTTTGTGTTTCTCTCTTTTTTTTTCCACAATGCAGCTTAGCATAAATCAATCCTATGGAGATTTTATGTAGTATGCAACTTTGATGGTATTTAGATTAATAACAGTAAAATATGAAGGTTTAATACAATATAAGGTTATTTATCATAGACCAAATGTAGTTTATTTCATTAGCTTGAAATACAGAGGCAATTGATACTTGCCACCACTGGCACTGCAGATTTTTCTCCCAGGAAGAACTATTCTGCCTTTCCCAATGATAAAAAATAAAACTAGCATCCTATTTATAGTTTAAAAATAGTTGTTGCATAGGAGGCTATACATCCACAATCAGGACTAAGTATTATTTACAGGTGTCCTGGATTAATTTGATTTTAAGGAAAATGGGAAGGCACAAAAAAACCCAAAAAATCTAAGGTGGTGACATCATCTAAATTGCCTGAAAAGTTGGAAACTCCAGTGGGCTCCAGCATCAGGGGTTTAGCAGAGAGCAGACAATTACAAGGTACTTTTAGTCACATGGTTCTGAACCTTGAGAGAGATTTATCTGCAAATTGCTTAAACCCCTTCCTACTGTAGCAGTTCCTGAAATTTTATTTTCCTATTCTTTTCTTTCCTCCATCAATTTCTTAAGTTGTACTTTTTAAAGCCAGTCAATGCCAGGTCATAGTGTCTCACTAGCTAATATAAAATTTGGAATATTTTATTGTAACAACAAATCTTGGCCTTTCAAATGTCAAAGATGCACCCATTTATACCAAACCTGTCATTTTCATAGCTAGACTACTTTTCTTGTATTATGTTATGTTTCAGTTAATACCTTTAAAGTACTTCTTCATTTCTTCATAAAGCCTTTTAAAAAATTAATTTAAAAAAATGTTCCTCAGAGTTACAGTCCAGTCTGAGTAACAAACCCAGCTGCTGTGGTGCCTCCTCAGAGCAGGTTCTCAGGCTGATATGGTGTTCACAACTACAATTTTAAGGAAATTTGCAGTCATTTTGGGGCAGTATTGGAATGTCTAAAGCCTCTGACATAAGCAATAACCCGGAAAGCTTGAAAAGGATGAGAGCAGGGTTGATTTAATCAAGGAGGAAGGTCTGCTTTGCAGAAATCCCGTGCTGAGCCCAGAGGGGATTTGTCCAGCACACACAGCCCAGGACAGTGGGACTGTGGGCTGAGGCACAGCCCTGCTCCCTCTTCAGCTGTCACTCCAGGAAGGGACACAAATCTCCAGCCAGGGAAAACCTCCACTGCAGCACGTCTGTGTGATTCCTTCAGGACCAAAACAAGCACATTAAATATGCATTTATTACTAAAACAAAAGGTGCTTTTATCAGAGTTTAAGTGATGATTCCAGAACAAGTTGGACACCACAGCCACACGGAGCAGCACCTTTGTTCCATCACACCAGTTCAGCCCCAAATAGGAACAAGATTATTAAATATTTCCTAAAATCCCTTACCTTCCCTGCCAGCCACACTGTCCTGCTTTGCTGTGTTTCTGTCTGTCACTGCTTCTTTTTTCCCCCATTGGAGTTCCACCCTTCTTCTGTGTCTCTCCTTAAAAATGCAACCAAAAAAATCTCTTTCTTAATTGAAACTTGCTATTTCCACATAATTTCATATTTCAACCTCAGAACAAACCTGAGCATTGCTCTCCTCCTTTTGTCATTGGTTGAGACATTCAGCTGCTTGCCAGATTGTTTTTGCCAAGCACCAGTAATAATAATAAAAGTATTGATTCCTTTTTATTAATATCTCAGGATAAGGGCAGAGTGCAGAATATTCACCTCAACTTCCAACAGGCACCCAGCTCTAGGCAGAATGCACTGGACTGTATTTGAGTAGTTCTCAGGCTTTGATGTTGAATATTCTGCTGTTTTACTGATAGAAACATTCTCCTTTTTGTATCACATTTTTAACTGATCCACAAGCTTTGGCATAACACAACCCAGCTGCAAATGGGTCAGACCAAAGCTGACACAGCTACCCATATCATCTTTTCCTGTTAATATGTCAGTAGTCATAAACCAAAGAATTTCAGCTATATACAACTACTTATTACCAAAAGCACTTTCAATAAAATTGATGTTGTTTAAAGCATTGATTTATTTAAAACAAATTTAGCTAAGACTGTTAAATCTGTCTCTAAGTTATTGTATCATGTTTTATAGTCCTTCCCTTGACATCAGTGTCACTGATAGGCTCTAACTATATGTTTCGTATTCCGAGACCACAAAAATTGTCATTTTATCTATTTGTCTCTTTGTCTTGAGTCTGTCTTTTTTGAGAACCTCACACAGCCCTTAAGAAATACTATATAAGGTCACAGCCATTTTCAAATACAAACTCTGTTTTAGAAGTCCAACATATGGACATGGGGAGGGTTTTCCTGACTTTTCTCTGCTCCTGCCCCCCCTGGGTCTCAGTATTCCACAGCCATCCCAGCCTCCAGCCCCTTTGGAACAATCAGCACTTCTATTACCTATCCCTGACACGGATCACAGGTAGGCAGCCAGGATTTCTTTCACCCTTTTAACCAGCCAACTCAACTAGAAAAGAAAATCACACTCCAAACCTCTGCTTCATTGCAAAGTGATGAAACTTTCCAGGGGATTACAGCCCCAGAGCTTATAACAACTCTTCCACTACTGCTGCTGGTATTCCATGCCATTGTTTTCCTCTGGTAGGAAGTACAATTCACAGCAGTGGGACTACTTTGAATGAGGCATCTATTCATAGCAGGGTCTGCACAAAGCCAGTGGTCACTTTTAGACCTTTCTATGTCCTAAGTTTTTATTATCTATCTGTCTAGCTAACAAGAAGGGAAAAATTAATTTGGGAAAGGAGTAAAACCCAATGTTTTAGGATTTATCCACCATTAAATAACAGAAATTAGGAGTCAATCTTCCATTTCAGTAGAAAGTCCCCTGTTCCATATTCTCACAGCAACACTTTTGAACCTGTCCCTAAAGCACAGCTTGCTCTCCTCAGCATCAGACACAGCTGATTACATATCAAAAGACACTTCCAAGGAGCCCTAAATTATGCCAGAATTTTTACAGCCCATGTCTTCTCGACATCAAACACATGAATGTCACAGAGAGACCCACAGGTTTAAGACACTTAGTTTGACAGGAAAAAAAAAAGAAAAAATGGAGGCGGCCACACCTAAGTTGAGGCAAGAGCTGGTTAAGTGAGACAGGAAAAGGATGAATTTCTAAGTACTCACCTACAGCTATGGAGGACATTGTCTCACTGTTTGCCAGACAGCAGGGATATTGAGGGGGGTGTTTTTTTGGGATTCAAATGTTGTTAAAGGATTCACAGCTGTAGTAGCACATAATGCTGGCTTCTGTTTGTGACTCAAGAGAAAAATCTCAGATTTTTCTGGGTGAGAAAATCTGCTTCTGGGTCAGAATCAGCCTTGCCAAATGTTGGTGTTGATCATCACTCAGGTGTGGGAGATGAGTTCTCCAAACACACGGTGGGATGAAGCTAAAATTCAGCCAGGAAACCCCTCTGCTGTATTTTGAAGCCCAAGGACCACAGAGTGTTTCCTAAGAAGCCACACATCACATTTTCTGGGATGCAGTGTCTCCAGGTGCAGTTTCCCTGGCACAGCTCACCTTGGACATGATGGATTTACAGCAGTGGACAACCCTGGATTGCACAGCCCTTTCAGAGAAACAGAGAGCTCTACACAGCCCCTGAGTGTTCCTTCTTAGGAAAGAACTGAAATTTAGGACATTTGAATGCCTTGTCAAAACCAGCCTCCCTTCTACCCCTACCTCGTGTAACTTTACAGATGCAGCCCAAGGCTGTGCTGCAGGCTGAGGTCCCTTCCCTCCCTGGGAGGGGCAGGGCAGGGCAGGGCAGTTCTGGCTTTTTAAACAGAATTCCACCCCAAACCCCTCCGTTCCCTCTGGACAGTGATTTCCAATTGGCCTCAAGCACAGCAGGGGAGCCTCCCTGCTCTATACAATACATGCTCGGGCTATGAATGATTGCTGAATAGTTTTCTTTCACCTCTCTGTTTAGGAGATGCAGCAGTGAGGGAAGGCAAGGAAATCCTGCTTTCACTAAAAGAAAATTATTTTAAGTGTTATCAAGGTTCATCCACATAAATTTAATGTTATCAATACTGTTTCACATGAGACTGTCCCCTGCTCATTCCTGTTCTTACCTCAGTTAAAAAATAACAACAGGCAGAGGGCCAAAGGGCTTCAAACCCCAAGTTTTACTGTGACATGGCATTGGTTCTCATATCTCTATAAGAAAAAAAACCATAGAATATTTTTCAGACTACATCATCCTCTCATTTATTTTTTTTTCTGTAGCTGAAGAGCTTCCATGGACAAGCAGCCTTAAACTATGTAAAAGAGATGCAACTTTAAAAAAAAAAAAAACTTTTTTAAAGAGATGCACCTTGGTGTGTGTTTGTAAGTTTCGTAAATGGGCACAGATTTTCTTTTACCCTGACTGTTAATGGCCAGGGTAGGGCTGCTAACAATAAATGCACAGCAATGCTCAGGAAGGCAACAAGGACATCAAGCATTTCTATCTGTGGAAAAAGAATCATAAAAAGGGATTCTAAGTCCCAGTACCAGAACTATAAAGTATGGACTTAATTTGCTTCAAAGAGATTTGTTGTCTAAATAAAGCCTGAAACATCTAACTCTACAGATCTTCTAAAATATTTGGAATGTCTAATCATCAAATAATGTGGGTAACCAGACCTCTGCTCAATTTTTTCTTTTTTTCCATATTATTAGAGACTTTTGTATTCCTAAAATTCTTCAGCATCTTAAATGATTTCACAAATGAGGCCTCCTCCCCCCCCCAAAAAAAAACCACAAACACTGTAGTATAAAATCAGCAACATTTTCAGAAATAGTAATTCTACTCATATTATCTATAAATTACAGAAATATTGGCTTAATGTTCCCATGAAATGCACAATATTGTACAAGAATGAAAACCCGTGTCAGAATTCCACACACTCCCCAACTCTCCAGTATTAGCAAATATATTTGCTAATTCTGATATTTGAAAGTAGAAAGTGATGATGAATTAATTGAAAAGTGGGTTTTGGAACCCCTAGTTGTCCAGGCCTTGTGTTTTGTGTCATTAATTTAATTTATTACAGACAAATACCTGTTAATACATGTAACTCATGTGGCACTCATGGAAACTCTGTAAAAGACCTCATCTGCTGTGATTTCCTGTAGAGACCATGATTCATTCTGGAACAAAACCAACTTAAATACTTTCTGCTTTCAGCTAAGAGAGGTTTCTGGCACGAGATGTTAAAACTGATTAGTTTTACTGCACCTCTAACCCTCTTCCTCAAACCAAAAAGTCCTCAAAATGCAAGATGCCACCTACAAACTTAGTTAAATATAACTAAAAAGCAAGAGCACCACCAATAAGGCTCCAACAGCAAAGTTTATATTTGACTGAAGGTCCCAACGCTAAGAGTTGTGGACTGCTCACATGGCCAAATACTCACCACAGAATTTAACAAGTATTCAGCTGCAGAGGGGTTATTGCACTCAGCCAAAAGCGAAAAGACAAGATGTAATGATTTGGCAGGGAACACACTCTGTTTGTACCTCATGGCATGGAATGTTATCAAAAATATTTTAACCACCACCTCCACCAGATTGCTTCTGAAAGCAGACTATAGAGCAGCACAAAACCTTTACATTTTTACACTCAGTCAACATTTAGGATCCTACACCCTCTCACTTGTAAACTAAATATTCAGAACTCTTCCCTGGTCAAAAGCCCATTTAAAACTTAGGACCTGCTCTCACAGCTCCCAGGAGGAATTGTGGAGAGTCAGGAGCCATGAACCCCCAAAATTTGGCTCTGTCATTACAAGGTCAGTGAGAAATGTTGCAAGGGGATCCTCAAAATCTTATTTCCATTTCACAGATGAAAAAACAAAGACTATATGTGGAGGTGCTGAGGATGAAAGTCCACAGAAGAAAAAAAGCCCCAAGAGACAGAGACCTGCTGGCAAACCCATCCTTTTTTTTAGTTGATTGCTGGTTTGGTTTATATTTATTGTTGCTAACACTGTCCTCACCACAAATAAACACATTCTCTTACTCCAGCTTTCCACAGGAAGGTCCACGTGCAACCCAAATCTCCCAAGGTTTCATCTACTAAAGACTAACCCCAACATTGGAAGAATTATTTAATTTTTTGTGTAGAACATTCTAGTTTTATAGTCTCTCTGTTCCCTCTGATTACCTAAATAATACATTGTTTTATCTTTTTCAACATGTATGTTTCTTCTTAGTATCAAAAGAAGCTGAAATCCAGGGATTTTTGGGAAAAATTTTTGCTCACATATAAGCACCTGTGCAGCCCCAGGTTTCAGCTGTAGCCCTGATGCTTTGGTTTTTCACATTTGATTAATAAATAAATACAATATTTTCCTATCTGTAGTCAGAAAATCTCTCCTAAGATATGCAGCCACCCTGATGCAAAAATGAAACAAAAGAACTGGAAGTTTATTGTAAAGAGGCTCTGATTTTGGACTTGTGCATTCTCTCTGGTTTTAGAATGGCAATTTAACCCCCTAGACTCAATAAAATTTTAATGAATACATTACCGTGAACTAGTAAAAATACAAATATAATTTGACACAGATACCCATCAATCTTTCGAGTCTTCATTTCAACCTATTTGTTGTAATGTGTAAATAGACTCAAGTGGAAAAACTAAATTCTGTGTTTAGTAACAATTCAGTAACGTATAATCCCCTATTTAGAGATGTTTTAAAAGGACTTGAAATTTTTAAAATACAACTAATACAAATAAAATCATATGTTCTTACATAAAATAAGTCAAAGGCAACTTCTCTTGCATCATTTATACCTTAGATATGCTCTGCATGCTTCTGGATTGGAACAAACAGCAAAAATGCCCAAAGAGGCATTTGGATTTCCCCCATCTGCACAGAATTAAAATTCTTTGCAGCTTTTATAGTTTTTCAATAGCATTTAAAATATTATTTATAGCACCATTAAGAAACTTCATGGCAAGCTTACTTGATAAGTTCACAGCTCACAGCTTCAGTTTGGGGTTGGCGAACCTTGTCAAAATCCAGCATTCCTAATTTTGTGTGAGTATCTATATTCTAAAAGGTTTTCTCAATAAAATTGGTAAATCATCAAGGTCTTCCTATTTCAACTACCAAAAACCCAATCCATTTTTAAGAATTACAAAAGCTGGCCTTAAAAATAAGTACCAAAGCACCTAAAATGGAAACCCAAGAGTGTTTTGTGTTTGTGAAAGCAAATCAGAACAGGACAGAGCTTCTACACTGAGAGAAACTCCTTGATATCCAGAAGAGAGAGCCAAGGAGCTGGGTCCTCCTGAACGCAGAGGCACCGCTGAGATGGTGATCGTGCACTGTGAGATTCCTTCAGCCGTGGGCTGAAGAGCAGTGAGCAGATGCAGTGCTTCAATCCCCAGCTGGATTTACACTGCTGCATTTGCTGTGCAGGAATGTGGCGCCGTGGGCACTTCCCTCCCCAGTAAAACACAGCAGCCACTGCTTGCTGCCCCAGCCCTCAGTGGCAGGGGCTGCTCATGTGCTGGGAAGGGTCCTCGGCCATGCATGGTCAGAAAATGCTTCAGCCTGGTGTCAGAAAAAGACTAAACACACCTTTTTTTATTGAGTTTTCAAACCCTTCACATTCTTTTATACACATCTCAGTTTGAGCTAGCTCCAAGTCCTATTTGAATATTCCATGTACATGACAGAATAAAAAAATAGATTAAAAAACCCCCAAAAAACCAAAAAAAAACACAACAAAACAAAACAAAACAAAACAAAGCAACATTGTTGCCTTCATTTTGAAATATATTTGAACACTGACTTTTAGCTTGTATTCCTAAACCTAAATTTGAACTAAGGAAATGTTGCTAGGTACTCAGAGGTCTTCTTGCTTTGCTAAGGACATGGATTTATTCAGGCTTTGGAGACACACTGACAGCCTGATATAGATCCCAGTATTTAGACTATCTGAGACATTGTAGTACCATAAATGAAATAAAATTTCTCCTCCTGCATTCCATAAAAAGACCTTTTTCCACTCTCATCACCATTATTTGTAAGCCATATTACTTGCCATATTAGTGGCCCAGAAATAACTCCCTAAGAAAGAAACAACCCCACATTTCCAGAAAACAGCTTCCAGAAGCTTATCTTACCATTTCCTTGCATCATTTGATATGCTTGGCTGGACCTCTGAGTAAAAATAAATTATCACTTGAAGTTTGAAGGTGTACTTTGGTAGCAGATTAAAATTCATGCCTCTTTTCATTTGATTACTGCTTCAGGCTTTCTTTTTAAGCAGCTTCAAAAGGGAGAGAATATATATATATATATATTATATATATATATATATAGCGCTGAGCTGCCTTTTTAAGCTGGACAAACATGAGGTACGATGTGCTTCAAGGGAAACAAGAAAGGAGCACATTAAAAAATGTCACTTGTATAAAGAAAATAACTCCTGAAATAGACATTTCCATGTTTTCAGGACATATTCATTGCTATCACAAGCAGACCTCTTACATATTCTTCTTAAGTTTGCAGGGAAAGTAAGACATTTACAGCAAAATATCCCAAACTGCTTTCAAGTTTAAACATAGTTTTGCTAAACATCTAACTCATTATTAGGATTTAATGACTTATGAAGCCTAAACAGTCATAGATCTTATCAACAGAAAATTTATGATTTCATTGTGATTCAGCAGAATTACCCAGAACCACTTACATTCTTCAGCTTTGTACCTAATGTAATACTGTGCATAATGTTTAGTCATCCAAGCCTACAGTGAGAAATTTGATCAAGAGAATTGGGACATAGTTTAGATACCTTCTGGAATCTTAATTTGTTTTGTTGGTGGTGAGACTTTTCACTGTCATTGAGCCCCTGTCCTGCTTCTGACCCCACACCAGAGCCCCGGGGTGGGTGAGGCTGGAGGGGCCCACAGGGGCTGCTCTGGTGCCACCTCCCTGCTCCAGCAGGGCCATCCCAGAGCACAGGGCCCAGCAGTGTCCGTGTGGCTCTGCAATGTCCCCAGGGAGGAGACTCCACAGCCTCTCTGCTCCATCTGCTCAGGGCTGGCACTGCCCAGGGCAGGAGTTCTGCCTCCTGGGCAGGGGCAGCTCCTGGGCTCAGCCCTGCCCGTGGCTCTGGGGCCATCGCTGGGCCTGGAGCAGAGCCTGGGCTGCTCTGCCCTCCTGCACACAGGGACAGCCAGGCCTGAGGGCCTCTCTCAGCTGGGGCTCCTCTCCAGGCTGAGCAGCCCCAGCTCCCTCAGCCTTTCCTGGGCACCCAGATGCTCCAGGAGCTCCTGTTCCATCTGTGCTGAGGATCCAGAGCTGGACACAGCACCCAGAGGTGCCTCCAGGGCTGGGCACAGGGGCAGCATCACTCCTGACCTGCTGCCAAGGCTCTTCCCCATGCCCCAGGGCAGCCTTGGCCTCCTTGGCCCCAGGACACTCCGCTGGCTCAGGGACAGCTCCGTGTCCCCCAGCACCCCCAGGACACTCTGCTGGCTCAGGGACAGCTCCGTGTCCCCCAGCACCCCCAGGACACTCTGCTGGCTCGGGGACAGCTCTGTGTCCCCCAGCACCCCCAGGACACTCTGCTGGCTCAGGGACAGCTCCGTGTCCCCCAGCACCCCCAGGACACTCTGCTGGCTCGGGGACAGCTCTGTGTCCCCCAGCACCCCCAGGACACTCTGCTGGCTCAGGGACAGCTCCGTGTCTCCCAGCACCCCCAGGACACTCTGCTGGCTCAGGGACAGCTCCATGTTCTCCAGCACCCCCAGGTCCTTCTCTGCAGAGCTGCTCAAGCCAGTCCCCCCAGTAATTTTGTTCCTCTGAATTTACCAAAATATCTCACTCCAGCAAAAAAATCTTTCCATAGAAATGTCTGTATCCATGGGTGTGAAATAGGTTCCTCCTATCAGATCTTACATTAAAAGAACACATAATATTATGTTTTAGAAATGTTTGGTCTCTACCCTACCTGCTTTAACACACATCCCACAGGGGCACAGAGCACTGTGTAAAACACTGAGAACCAGAGTCAGCAACCAAATTCTCTCAGAACCAATTGCAGCCCCAGTTTCACAATTAGGTTTTGGAAACAACTGGAAAAGCAGACAGGTCTGACCAGTAGGGATTCATGCATATTCAGCTAAGAATTAAGGTCCATCAGGAGCAAAAGAGATGAAAAAATCCTGAAGGATTGGCAACTGATAAATAGATTAAGAAGGCAAATTGTTTTGAAAATTCTAGGTGAATAATACTTTCAGAATTCTTTTATGCAATATTACTTTTAATGGCCAGCTAATACAAAAATTATGCTTTTTCAGCAGTGCAGATGGAACTTTATCATTAAGCAGTTTAACAACATTTTCAGAAACAGACTTTAGAATTTCACACCAACATTGTATCACTATTACTGTAGAGCTGTTTCTTTCTGTGCTCTACCAAAAAAAGCCCCCCTAATAAAATAAATAAATAAAACCAATATCAACTTCTACCTCCATTCATTACTGGTTCAAGCAGACAGGAGGATTGTCTCTAATTTAAAGGACCCCACATTTACAAGATCTTCAGAGGAATCACTTATTGGTGGCACAGATATCTTCCATCCTCATCAAGGGAACATAAACATAACAGGAGGTACCAATAGTGCATTCTGGAACTCTTTGGCCAAATGACAAACTTCATTTTGTCTGCTTTTACTGCTGGTATGTTTCCAGGAAAATATTTAGTGAGACGCTAGTGCAGAAGTTCTAAGAGTCAGGCTGGAGGGGCCTGACCTTCAAAGCGTTTTCATTTCAAGAGATGAAGTGCAACAGCCCCACAGTGAGAGGCCTGTGCAGAATTCCCACTGCTGCACATCTAACTGCAATTATGAACCCTCCACCTCAAATGGTTAAATGCCTTCAGAAAATCCAAACAGCATCATTTAAAAATAAAATTTAAAAATACCTGGGTAATTATCATGTTTCAATTCTCAGGAAAATAATCTGCCTTCAACAGAATCACCTGACAGGTGTTGCCATCTACAAAGTCCAGTGAAAAGGGGCTGTTTTCATGGACAAGATGCCTGACCCTGGGGTATTACAGCTGCCAATAGCACACAAAAAATGCTCTTTAATTTAGCTGAGACCAATTCTTTTGTCTAGCAGGGAATCTCAGTATTATTTTCCTTTCATCTTCAAAATGATGTGTGACCTTCTGTTGTTTCATTGATAACTACGTATAAAATATAATAACATGTTACTTAAATGTGAGGCATTTACTACAACAATTCCAGGTCTGGCTAAGTGAAATTCCCAATGCTGCAGCCATGGAATACATGAGCAGGCATCACAAATCTAGAATCAACTCTCTATGCTGGCTTGTGCAAATAAGTTCAGAACAAATACAAGCGCCTCTGAAATTGAGAGATCCAAAGCAAACGAGGCTTTGGGATAACACCAGAGTCATTTAATGTTCTGATTTTATAAATGTTGAATAGCAGAACAGGGAGACAACTTACTCCTGACTAATACATTATCCCAGGAGTAATGAGACAGAACTGACAGATGAGAAAGAATCATGCTGGTATTTTCTACGGACACACTGCTTTTTTCCTGAGTAAAAGAAAAATAACTATGCTTTCCAAGGAAAAGCCAGTGGTGTGGAACCATTTTTTAGAAAGGTTCAACCATGACAAAATAGTGACAAGACCCAAAAATCAACAAGGAAATTCTGAGAAACTGCTAAAACCGGCATCTAAAATGAATAAATTAATTTTACTAGGCTCAATAAAATTCTCTGCTCTGTACATCAGGCAGTCAGGACCTACTCCACTGGAGCTCATTAAAGATTTCTTTTGACTTCTGTGATCTTTGGTAGAAGAACCGAGATTTTTGTAACTATAAAAAGAAATCATCCCAGTTTGCACAGGTGCAAATTACAGTAAAAGGCAGGGGGAAGAAAGAGGTAAAATGAAGACCTTAATGTGTTATTTTATGGCATAAATAACAATTTAAAAGGTTAATCTAGTAGCACCATGCAGGTGGTCGTTAAATGAGACGTTCTCTGGGTTGCTGGAAGTGAAGAGCTCTGGGGAAAATCCAGAAACTGTCCCTATGTGCTGCTGGATTGCAGTTGTCACATTATAGGATAAACCTCCTTTCCCTGGCTCAAAAAGCACTGAACTCCCTCTTTTGGTGCGTGACCTTGAGAATGGTATCTCTGCACCAAGAGATTTAACCGTGATAAATTACTTTTTCTATACACACAACACACATTTAGACTACATCCACTTGTTTGCTAGGCTCGTTGGAAGAGCTAGTGTAACATTTCTGTGAAAAAGTGAAAACCATCCAGTGATGCCCCTTTTGTCACGGTGCTGGTCTCCTCCGACAGGGATTCCCCAGCAAGAGGTGCTGGCTAAAACCTCACCCCAAATCTGTAGGCCAGACAATCCCCACAAAGATCCCCCAGTCCAGCGGTGGGCCAACTCATGTCCAGCTACAGCAACTGACCCACGTTTTTGCATCCTTCCTCTTTGCTGTCAGTGCACTTCTGTGAAACATCATGGTTGCCTTCACAGTCCTCTCTTCTTTCAGCTCCAGCTGAGCTTTGAATTTCCAAATTCTCTCCCTGCATGCCAAGGCAATGTCTCTGTGTTCTTCCAGGGTAACTCATCACTGCTTCCACTTTCCCTGTGCCTTCTCCTTGAGTGTGAGCTCCTCACTCAGCCGTGCTGGCCTCCTTCTGTGCTTTGTAAACTCTGCAGCTCCCCGTTTCCATGCTCTGAGGAGGCCGTCTGTGACTAAATACCAGGCAGCTATCCTGCATCCCTCTGACTCTAGGGCAACCTTCCATTAAGCCTGCCAAGATGATCCCTGAGTAAGACAGAATTTGCTTCCCTAAAATCCAAGTTTGTGATATTTTTCTGACATTGTCTGACAGGATTTAAAGCTCCAATCCTGTGCTTCCTGCAGGGAAGGATGGCCATGCCCTTGATGGCCAGTTTTTCCTGGTTTTTGAGGAGAAGATTAAGCAGAATATTTCCTGTACTCAGTTCAGCATTCACCTGCCTTAAGAAATTCTCTTCTGCTGCACCCAAGCCTATTACCCAACAGATTTTGGGGCAGCTGGAGTCTCCCAGGGGTTCAAGAGCCTGTGCTTTCCCGTACTTGTAAACACAAGAATTTATTTCACTCTCACTAATGTTTTATTCTCTGTCTCTACTGGCAACAGCACCACTAAAGCCACTTCCAAAGGTGGCAGTGCCAGCCCCTTGTCCTGCTTGTCCCTGTGACCCTGTGCTCAGCTGGGGGCTGGACTGCCACACGTGCCACGTCCTGAGAGTTACAGGTGTAAGGTCCTCCCAGCAGGAATGGGTGGAATTGATGGAGAATTGATAAAATTCAGTTTTATTTTCTATTAACTTTCACTACTCATCTTCCCACTCTAATTGTTAGATCAGAACTGAGCTCTGATACGGGATGCTTGGACTTAAAACCAAAATTCCCATCTCTTGATCCTCTAACACAGCCACACCCAGGAGAGCATGTAACTTCAGTGCAGCTGCAAAAAGGGTGACAACAACAACAATTCAGGAGTATAAATCTGTAGGAAATTACTCCTGGTGCTTTCAGAAGCAAAACAAACACTGTTTACTCCCAAAATTTTTAAAATAGCATAAACAAGAGACTTAGAAGCCTTTCCTGTTATTTCAGCTCCAATAAGGAATGGTTTTGTTTTCTCACGGCTCTTATCCCTACAAAAAGTTGTCGTGACTTTTTCCTCCTTGATGCTTCAGCGGTGGAATTGAATGCAGATGGGACAAAGGCAGGTGCAACAGTGGGCAGTCCTTTTAGCCTGATTCCCTGAGCTATGAACTCCCAGTCCAGGCTTTTTACAGGTTTACCAAACTGCCAGAAGTTTACAGTGGCAATGAGCTCCATTCACACAGTCCAGCCTCATCAGATCATTTTCTCGTTCTTAACCAGAGATGAATAAACATCCCTGGGTTTGGGGAACTGAACAAATAAATATTCTTAATAACTTTGACACATGTATTTCACCTTTATGAAAGAGGCACCAGCAGTCACAAAGCCAAATCCCACTGAAA